GGTGGGGGTGGGACGGTGGTGTCCCCTGTCCCACGTCCCCTCTGCCCACAGGATGACAAGGAGTACGTGGGCTTCGCCACACTGCCCAACCAGGTCCATCGGAAGTCGGTGAAGAAGGGCTTCGACTTCACTCTCATGGTGGCAGGCACGAGCGGACCGGGACTGGCATGGGTGTCTGCTGACCCTGCTCCGGATCCCAAAAGCCAGGAAGCTGGGGGGTACCAGCTGCCCTCCCTCACCCTTGTCCCCCTGTCCCAGGGGAATCCGGGCTGGGCAAGTCCACCCTGGTCAACAGCCTCTTCCTCACCGACATCTACAGAGACCGCAAGCTGCTGAATGCCGAAGGTGAAGTGGGGGGGACAGCCCAGAAATGGGGTGTCCCAGGGGGGTGGCATAGCCCAGTTTCACGCCTGTGGGGCTGCAGCCCCTCTCCCAGCCCAGCTGGGCTCCTCCATATCTGCAAAGCTGCATGTGGCACGTTGCCGGCTGCCTGCCGGCGCTGGGGGCCTCTCCAAGGCAATGAGACCCCCCCTGCCCGGAACGGGGACCCCCCATGGGGCTTTGTCCCCACTGGGTAAACAAGTCCGAGCTTGTCGGGGTTCAGCTGGAGCTGTGGAAAATCCGGGAGGCTGGGGACAGTCGGGGTCCAGGGCACAGTGCCAGTTCAGCTGCAGCCAGGTTTTGAGTGAAAACGGCCCAAACTTGCCCAAATCCCCAGGGAGCTTTGAGGAGGTTGTTTGATTTGTTTCCGTTGCTTGGAGCGAAAGCCGAAATGCGTGTGGCCACATGCACACAATGCAATGGGAGCATCCTTAGGGATGCAGGGACATGGAGGGGGTCCTGGCGTAAAGGGGCATGTGCAGTCCCAGAGCCGTGGGGTCACACATGGGGGTACAACAAGCCAAAAATGCTGCCTCAGTGATGCCCAGCCCCAGCAGACCCCCATGCTGCTGGAGCTGGGCTGTTTCAGAGTGGGGGGCACCCTGGGCCAGAGACGGAGGGGGTGATGCAGGGAGATGCTGCAGCCCCCAGGTGTCACCCCCCCATCGATGTGTCTCCTGCCGCTGCAGAGCGCATCACGCAGACGGTGGAGATCACCAAGCACGTAGTGGACATCGAGGAGAAGGGTGTCAAGCTGCGCCTGACCATTGTGGACACACCGGGCTTCGGTGATGCTGTCAACAACACTGAGTGGTGCGTCCCATGGTGGAGTGGGGGGAGGGTCACCCCAGGGCCAGCACCACGACCGTGGGTGCCAAAGGCTCTGAGGGTGGGATGTCCATGACTCCTTGCTCTGTGATGCTGAGCCATGGGAGGTGTTGAGCTTGGGGTCCTGGGAAAGCCCAGGAGTCCCATGAGGGACTCAAGATTGTCACTTCCCTGTCACCACAGCTGGAAGCCGGTGGCCGACTACATTGACCAGCAGTTCGAGCAGTATTTCCGTGATGAAAGTGGCCTCAACCGGAAAAATATCCAGGACAACCGCGTCCACTGCTGCCTGTACTTCATCTCGCCCTTTGGCCATGGGTATGGATATCTCCTGCCTGCTTTGCCAGGACTGGGGGAGCTGGGGAAGGGGCTTGGTGGGATGGTGCTCATGGGGCTCCCCCGCAGCCTCCGGCCCCTGGACGTGGAGTTCATGCGAGCCCTGCACCAGCGGGTGAACATCGTGCCCGTGCTGGCCAAGGCTGACACCCTGACCCCTGCCGAGGTGGAGCGCATGAAGAACAAGGTAAGGGGAGGTCGGCCCAGCCTGGAGCCATCCCAGTGGGTCCCTGGGGATGGGGGTGCCCTGGGGGCTGTGGTCCCTGCTCGGCTGGGGGTTTTCTCCATCCCCTGCCTGGACTTTGAAACGTCACAGTAGAGAACCATGTTGCCCACATGGCCACCAAAGACACCTCTCCCTGGTGCTTATCTGGGGGTGGTGTCCATGATATTTAGTTTGGGTGGGTCTTTCCATCTTGATGTTGTGTGGCTCTTTCCATCCCCTTTCCAAGGGCCAGAGCCCTGCTCTCAGTGGGTCTGTCTGCCTCCAGATCCGGGAGGATATCGACCACTATGGCATCCGCATCTACCAGTTTCCTGAGTGCGACTCGGATGAGGATGAGGAGTTCAAGCTGCAGGACCAGGCACTGAAGGTGAGTCTGGTGGGTCTGGCTCCTCCACCTCCATCCTTGGAGGGGCAGAGCCCCATGGCCGGGATGACACATCATCCTCGGCTACGCTTAGGACACACAAACTCTCGAGCAGTCCCAGATGGTGGGGTTGGTCCATATCACACGGCCTGGATGTGTCACCAAGACCCCACAGATGCCACCTGCAGCTTGGTGGGCTGGGGCTGGGCTAGAGAAACCCCTGCCATGGCTTCTGCCCCCTGGGGCTCTCTGGAGCTGGGGCTCTGAGATATCTTGGCAAATTGGGGCTGGATATGGCCGAGGAGAGCCATGTGGAGAGATGTGGGCCATGGTGGGCAGGACTGAGCCCCGCTAACCCTCTCCATCCTCTTGCAGGAGAGCATTCCCTTCGCTGTCATCGGCAGCAACACGGTCGTGGAGGCCAAAGGCCGGCGTGTCCGTGGACGCCTCTACCCCTGGGGCATCGTAGAAGGTAATGCTGGGCCGTGTCCCTGGTGTCCCATTGGCCTTTTGGGGATGGGGACATGCCCCATCTCCACCCTGCTCGGCCCCAGGGATGTTGGGGAGATGCAGGGGGCTGGCTGTGGCCCCCTGACCTCAGGCTCCCCCGCAGTGGAGAATCCATCCCACTGCGACTTTGTGAAGCTGCGGACGATGCTGGTGAGGACCCACATGCAGGACCTCAAGGATGTGACACGGGAAACCCACTACGAGAACTACCGCACGCAGTGCATCCAGAGCATGACCCGCATGGTGGTGAAGGAGAGGAACCGCAAGTAGGGGGCCAGGAGCTGGGTGCCGGGCTGGGAGGGTGGGCATGTCCTCTTTTTGGGGTGACCCCAGCCCATTGTGAGTGGTGATGTCAGGGGGTTGGGTGTGGGTCACTGTGGGTCCCTGCTGCTGGGTGTGGTGGGCTGGGTAAGGAAGCCTTGGGGGTGTGGTGGGGAGACCTGATGTTTGTGTGTGGGTCCTTCCTGTGCCAGTGGGCTGGGGATGGCTGGGGGTGATGCTCTGGCAGTGAGGGGGACCCTGAGTGTGTGTCCCCCCATGGCTAGATCTGTCTTAGAGGGGGATGCTCCAGCAGTGAGGGGGACCCTGTGTC